TTTTAATAGACATATGCTAATTTAAAATCAACACAAAAATCATGAATTGACAAATAACATAAATACATACATTTCACAGTCCCTAAAGTTCGTCCGTGAACATTTCTGATGATATTGCCGTGAAAATATCAAAAACTATTCCACGGGCATTGCGTCATCAGTAAAAATTAATCAGGAATGTTACGGGCATAAGAACCGTGAAATATATCATGAGCATCATGTATTACCACGGCTTTGCCGCGCTAATCCATGATATTCACAGCTGCCCGTGGAATATCTATTACATATATATGTGCATTTTAAGAATAAATGTTGTCTCAATAAGGACTATAAAAAGTTAATCCCTTTGGGAGTATATAAATTCCATATATGATTATCGTGTACTCATTTTCTCGACAACCATTTACGGCATCACATGATTAGAGTTATCATTTTATTAGTTGCAGATGTAATTAATAGTAAATTGTCACTCGTGTTATGTCGATTAAATGAAATGGCCTTTGGCAAAATACGGGTATTTTCTATATTATCTGCATACTGTATAAGTTGTACTCTTGATATCTAAATATAAATATTAATTATCCGCATCAAAAAAGTAACGCTTATTCCACTTTAACCGACTTCCTCGTTTGAAAGTATTGTACCAGAAATACAATGAATTGTCAATTTAGAGATAAGATTAGATTTGAATATATGCCGCATCTGGAGTAGGGATAGTAATTAAAAGGCAGGTAATAATTATGATTTTTGTTATTCAAATCCGGATTTAACTATTTGGACTTTAATCATCGCCTGTCTTAAATTAGTGAAGAAATAGGCTTTTTTTTACTATCTCTAATCTGGAGTAGCGACCTACTTTGAGTAACTACCTCCAATATTTGAAGTAGCACCTGGCCTAAAATCATTACTTAATTCAGGAGCTTAATTCAACCAGATGCTATTTTGGATATACACGCACACGTAAATTTGAAATAAATAAAATCACGCAGTCTTGATTGGTATAACCTCTTTTTTTTTAGGAAAAGAAAATATATATATATATATATATTAATAAACATTCAAGAATAGAATTTCTATATAGCAAATGCTATCTAACATGTCTCTTGTAAAAGATGCTTTCACTAAAGTCATAAGCAATATTGAACATTTAGGTGAAAAAGATTGGCATAATTGGGCTGAAAATCAGAAATGTACTCCTGATGAAATCTTTCGACCTGTCAATTTACATGATTTAAAAACCATTGTAAAAAAAGCAAAGGAGAATAATAAGAAAATTCGTTGTGCTGCTGCTGGTCATAGTTGGAGTAGTCTTAGTGTTACTAATGGATATTTGGTAATAGTTACTAATTTGAATGATATTGAGATTCAATATAATGAAAAATTGAAAACTTGGACAGTAACCACCGAAGCAGGTAAAGAAAACATTCTAAAAAACAAATACACGTTTCTGCTTTTTAATATTACAATTTATCTGATTGAATTTATAGGTGTATATCTTAAAGATCTCGATGACAAGTTAAGGAAACATGATCCTCCATTAACATTTGATTCTTCGACTGTATTGACCACTGTGACAACCTCCGGCGTTGTATCAACTGGTTCTCATGGCATGAAGGTTGGCACTTCAAATTTGTCGGAAAAAGTAATCTCTTTTCAAATTGTGACATCCGATGGTAAACTTCATGAATTTTCTGATGAGATAGATCCTGTTGAAATGAGTGCTGCAAGAATCAGTCTTGGTAACTTTTTTATTTTAAAAAAGCATCCAAAATTATGTATTTACCATATCCGATTTTTAAATAATGATTCTATGTTAAAGGTCTCTTGGGAATTATATATAAGCTCACTTTTAAAGTCGAACCAATGTTTAATATGATAGAAAAAGATAGTTTTCCAAACCTTTCTGATTATTGGAAAGCAAAAAACCTCAAAAATGACGTATTGACTTGTGATAGTATTGAAATTTTATATTGGCCATTCAATACACCTGGTCTTCAGGAAAAAAATGATAAGCTTTGGGTAAAAACTTACAAAAGAACCGATAAGGATGTTACAGAGAGTCAACTTGAAGTGAAAGCAGCGTCAGCCTTCCAAAGCTTTGGACTCAAATTTGGAGAACATCTTTATGAATACATGGCTAAACATCCGGAATGTACCCCATTCATGACTAATCTTCTTTTTAATATTGGTGTTAATCATGAACGTGAAAGGATTCTACAAGCACCTGATGCGATTCATTATCAGGTGTGTTTTTTAAATATTAATTTAAAATATTTTTAAACAGTATTTAATTTTCTTGAATTTTCATAGTCTGGTATCGACTACCTTCTTTGTATGGAACAAGAGATTAGCTTCAAGGTCAACCATGTAAGTACAGCAATAGATGTTTAGAGAGTGGGATAAATTATCACTGAGTGCCAGTCATGTGGAAAGTTAAATTTGATGCATATACCTCAGAATGATTAACTACCTAACAATTTATGTTCGAAAAATTCGAGATTAATGCTCGAAATGCATTAATTCCAATCTCTAAATACAATTGAGTCTATACAATATCATATATTAAACTGCATCCATCAAACTAACAATTATACTATATAAATAAGGATTTTTCAAATTGTATCGAAGAAGTAAATTATATAATTAAACGGGTAATGTTTATAAACCATTATGTGATGTAATTGATGTAATTTCATATCCATATATAAAACATTACTAATTCCTCTTTTTGCCTTCTAG